TTAACGAGCAACTTGCCAAATCAGAGTCGCAAAGCATACAGACGCAGATCGCTATCAGAACGTAACAAAATACCTTGTCCAAAATGTCCTTTCATATATCGCACTACTCGCAGAGCTGCCTCCCAATGTTCTTGCCATGGACTTTGCATGAACTGATCTAGGATATGAACACAATAACACAGTTCAGGTCATGTGATGGTTAAGTATACCAATCGTCCCACTAATCGTCGATACTGATTCGGATTTTCCATTAGAGTGCCCATTGCCAACGCAAGATGATGATTTTGTTCAATGGGCATGGATGTTGGTTTGGCTCCCAATAATCCACATTCTGAGATGATGTACAGGGCATACTTCCATTGAGACAAAAATATTCCCTCAGGGCCACGAGCTACTTCAATACCTAGGAAATAATTGAGTGATACCCAGATCTTTCATATGGATGCACCGATTGAGATACTCTTTGAATTTCATAATGGCTACAGTATCATTTCTCTCAACAATCAAGTCATCAACATATATCAGCACGTGCAAACGAACATTGTGTTTGAAATAGGTGAACAAAGAGTAGTTAGGATATGATTGAACAAACCCAAATTGTACCCAAGCCGTTGTTAACTTCGAGAATCAACATTTAGCAGCTTGATGTAATCCATAGAGAGATTTCTTCAGTTTGCACACTCTTGTTCGATCCTTAGATGTAAAGCCTGGATGCAACTACATGTATACCTCCTCATTCAAATCCCCATGCAAGAATGCATTATGTACATCCATCTGATGCAACTCCCAGTTCGTAGCGGCTGCCATGGCTAACAAGGTTCGAACTGTCGACATTTTGGCCACAGGAGTGAAAGTCTCATTGTAATCCAACCTGTCTATTCTCGAGAATAACTAGGCGCGCCTTATGTCATTCAACTGTCCCATATGAATTATCTTTGATCTTATAGACCCTTTTACTCCTTATTGCCTTTTTCCCAGGAGGTAGAGTCTCCAACCAAGTACCATTATCCTCCAAAGCCTGGATTTCCTTCCTTATAGATTCTCTCAATTTCTCACTTTTTATTTCCTCAGAAAAGCTGGTGGGCTTGGCTCCTGTAGTAACTGCAGCTAAGAAAGCTTGATGTCTACTAGAGAAGTTAGTACATGTCACATAATTTGCTATGGGATAGGGAGTCATACCTGAGGATTTTGATTCAGAGTTGGCTTGAGTGTGAATGGGGTCTTTCAAACACCAAACAGTGTAGGTCACTAGGGCTTTAACAAAACAGACGGCGTGCAATGTCGATGTCCCCTGCCAAGTTGCTCCTTTGGTGTTGTTTGTGGTGCTGGATCCACACTAATTCCGTCCTCACCGCCATTAATTTCTACTTCCTGCACACCCTCTCCATCTCCTTGCTCCTCCTCTTTTCCATCATTATTTTCAAGGCTCCCCCTATCATTCACACAAATAACGTCTTCGTCACTCCCCATGTCTTTATTTCCTTTGTGACTGTGAAAATCATCATCATCAACCACTGCATCGGCTGGTGCAATGGTTGGGCCAGGGTTGTTTTCTAGAGTTACTTCTAAATTAGCAGCATATGGAAATACATTTTCATGGAAGACTACATCACGGGAGACAAAATATTCACCTCTTTCAACATCACATACGCGCCAACCTTTCTTTCTGTAGGGATAACCTACAAAAACACACTTCCTACTCCTCTCTCCAAACTTATCATTGTCTCGAGGACTACAATGAGCATAGCAGAGACAGCCAAATACTCTCATTTGCTCATATTGAGGTGGCATCCCAAATAGTACCTCATACGGAGTCTTCCCGCCAAGTATAGAAGAAGGTGTCCTATTTATTAAGTATCCCGCAGTTAAGACACACTCCCCCCAAAAACAAATGGGCAAGCCTGGTTGAAATCTCAATGCTCTCACAACATTCAACATTTGCTTGTGTTTTCTCTCCACCTGACCATTTTGTTGAGGTGTCCCAACACACGAAGTTTGATGCAGAATGCCATGAGTCTCAAAGTAGGATTTCAAACTTTTAAATTCTGTTCCATTATCACTTCGAATAGTCCTGACTTGCTTGCCAAATTGACGTTCTGCCATGACACAAAATTTCTCAATAATATGCGTTACTTCACTTTTTTCAAGTAACAAGTAAACCCACACAGCACGAGAATAATCATCAACAATTGTTAGAAAGTAAACGGCATCACAAGAGGTAGGTACTTTATAAGCACCCCATGTATCACAATAGATTAGAGAAAACAATCATCAGCTTTATGTTTACTTTCAGGAAAAATTTCCTGAGTTTGTTTTGCTTTATAACAAAAATCACATGGCTTATCTCCTTCAGTTCTACTATTTAATTTATCTACTTTAGGAAGAAAAGATAATATCTGTTTAGACGGATGCCCTAATCTGCGATGCCATAACTCCCATTCATTCATTCCACTTGTTCTATTCACCCGAACCGGTGTTGCTCCTCTAAAATGATAGACTCCATCACACTGCTCATCTGCTCCAATCAAAATCCTTGAGGTTTCATCCTGTATCACACACAGCTTGTCAGTAAAAGTGACAGTACAATTTATCTCTTGTAATAATTTTGCTACAGAAATAAGGGTGCTGTTCATTCTTGGTACGAAAAGCACATGATGTAAATAAATATTTCCACCCAAATGTAAAGTCCCTTCCTTCACTATAGTGGTTTGCTTCCCATTGGGAAGTCCCACCGGACACGGTGTAATATTCCAAACATCAATCAATAAATTAATTTATCCAGTCATATGGTGCGATGCCCCAAAATCAATTATCCAATCAGTAGAATTTTTCTTACTAGAAAGTCTTTCTATTCCACCAAATTTATGAGAATTCAAAATATTAAGAAGTGTTGTCCATTGATCTACACTCAGCCTAGGAAATCCGCTACGATCATGATCATTCGTGGTTCTAGCCTTCTGTCCTCCAGTCTCACTCACCGCTACTTGGGCAACGTTTGCTCTTGCATTGTTCCCTCGTCCACGTCCGCCGGCATCCATGCTCGAACCACCTCGCCCACGACCTACTCCTTTCCCGATTGAGCGTGGTCTATCTCTCCACCATTCTGGATATCCGATGACCTGAAAGCAATCCTTTGCTTCATGTCCAGATTTTCCACAATGTGTACAACTCACATGTTTATCCTTCATACGTGCAGCATCTACTTTCGCACCAACACCCATATGTACCGCAAATCCCATGAAATCACTTCGTTCTTCTTTGCTCTTGGCTATATTTTGATACCTTTCCTCTTGAATGACAATTGCATAGACACAGTTCAAACTCGGCAACGGCGCCATGCTCAAAATATTCAAACGCACAGTGCCATACTTTGTATCGTCAAGGCCCATCAAGAACTGATGTACCCTCTCTTCTTCTCGCTTCTTTTCAAGTACAGTCGCAATACTGCATTTGCGAACGCCACAACGACATGCAGGTACTGGATCATAATCTACTAGTTTGTCCCACATGACCTTCAGCTTCCCGTAGTAAGCCATCACTGCTTGTCCTTGTTGTTTACAAGCAGCCAAATCAGCCTTCAATTGATGGACCTGAGGTCCATTCCTGATAGAAAATCTTTGTCGCAGATCCTCCCACAAGTCTTTCACGCTCTCCGTATACGATATAGTAGATCGCAAGGTTGGTTCAATAGTATTAAAAATCCACGCAACTAGCATTGAGTTCACCATCCACCAATCTTCGATGTCGGTCGAGTCATCTATTGGTTTACCCAACGTTTCATCAACTAATCCGAGCTTTCTTTTTGCTCTGAGGGCGTTTCTCATAGATCTCGCCCATTCCTCATAGTTCTCACATTTCAATTGGACAGGTGAGATAATCATTCCAGGGTTGTCAGACGGATGCAAGTAGTATGGCGAGAAGATGGCCATGTCCTTCCCTGCACCTTTTCTGCTGTCTTCATCTCCACCGGACATGATGGAAAATCTGTCGATATGCCTTCTGGTTAGCTGGTTGACGAGTTATAGTGGCTCTGATACCATGAAAAAAATTATGGAAAATTCTGTCTTCCATTATGCAAGATCCAACACATATATACAATTCCTATGCCTGAATTTAGGAGATTCAGTTGTAGTAGGAAACTACTAATTACAACTGGCCAAAGAAATCTAGGAAACTGCTAATTACAACTAGCTAAAGATGTCTAGGAAACTACTAATTACAACTAGCGAAAGAAATAAGAAAGCTTCCTAAAAATACATGCTAGAATATTTACATTCCTATATGAATTAGATCTCCCAATAGTATTTGAAAATTTTAGGATATATTTTGAGAATTTTAAAGCAAATGAGGAATGAAAGAGTCACAAGGTATGTTTAACTATTTTTGAAAAATTAAGGGTATTTTTAAGTCAATTTATGAAAAGTTAAGGTATACTTAACTCTTTTACCCTTTTTTCACAATACTTGACTCGATTTTAGTGGTAATTTGTATGACTGCTGGTACTTTACAAATATAATGAAACGTAGCTACTTTTCTTGGCAGTTTTATGATTGCCAACAATTTCAGGCAATGGTTGATTTGAGTGCCAAAATAACATAGACACCTATGGTGGTTTTCTTTGCCTTTGCTGGAAGTTATCGAGGATGTTTGGAATTATGGGTGTTTATTCAATAAAAGATGTTATATGGGCACCACTTCAGTAGTTCCCCTCTTATGTTCTTTTGTATGTGTCAAAAATAGTGAAAGGTGATTTCGGTTTTTGTACATATTTACCATTTTGGTAAGTTATTTTCTAAAGGTTTCCCTAACAGTTAAACGTTTTTTAACTGTTATTCTGATGTGGTGCCTATTTGTCATAAATGATTGTAATTATTATCTTTTTTGGTTTTACAAGCAAATAAAATACAAATGTTGAATGAAAAAACATAAACAGAACTAAACACATACATCATCTTTACCGGCAGTGACTTAATCAGAAAATATAACCACCAACTATGTACTGCGGGTAAAAAATCAGTTTTCTTGTATTAAACGAAGAAGAAAGGACTCCTGCCTCTTGCTTCCACAGAACTCAAGTTGACCTAGAAAGTATGTGCAAGGATGTATGCACTTGTTATTTATTTTCCCCATCTAATAATGATGAAGAGGAGGTGCAATCTAGGCTCACAACTTTAAACATAAAAAGCTAATTAAAGTTAAATAAGAGAAGATCCCATGCTTATTTACTTAGTACAAAAACCAGTTTTATATTTGGCAAGATGATGCATGGGATGGACTGAGAACATGTCTTTAACCTAGCGTTGGAGGAATTTTTTGAACCAATAAGCTGAGTGCTTTGGGTATCTCTTCAGCCCATTCTTGTAGTCTATGTAGTTAATACCAAAACGAACTGAGTAACCATCGCTCCATTCGAAGTTGTCCATAAGCGACCGCGCAAAGTATCCCTTCACATTTACACCTTTCCTGCAAAAATTCAACCATAACCTCAATAAGTACTTATTTCCTTTCTGACCTGTCTTGGCCTATCATATCATTTTGAAAATACCTACACTACTCCTGTTTGAAATAAGTGCTTTTTCACCAATGGCAAATAAGTACGCTGAAACTTAGCCTGCTACAACTACAACCACATGCCACTAAATTGTTGGCTTTTCCCCTGAATGAGCCCATTTTAAAGATGATGGATCCTATTCCGAGTTCAGCCCAAATACCTTGAGCTGATTCTCGAATAGCCCAATTAATTATTTGGTTCCTGAGTTGAACCAAGCAGAAGCAATGGCATTGGGTTCACATTTTTGAGTTTTATTCGTGGTTTTCAAAATTGGACCAGAAAATCAGGAATCAGTCTGTTTTTCTTCAAAATCGATGATTTTGGTCAGCAAATCGTTGAACTGACGATTAACCGTTTGAATTGTTTGAACAATTTTGACCGTTTTTCAATTTTTTTAATTTTTTTAATTTTTTATATTTTTTATAACAAGTCAACCATTCAGGTCAAACGATTGGACTATTTGAAACAATAATCAGACCCCTGACCGGTTCAGTCGCCGATTCGGTTTTAAAAACCATGGTTATATTAATAAGAAGTAATGGACAATGATCGAAAAACTCACTTAATGGCTTTTTGAACAAAAGAAAGATGGCTTTGATAATATTCTATTCTCAAGTTATCCACCAGCGCTTCCTTCAATGTCAACGAGCTATCATCCTTCTCCGACACCCCTAAAAAACATATATAAAAACAATAAATAAGTATTTAATTCTGATCAATGATCAACATGGCACAAACCTTGGAGCACAGAATTAATGTGAAAAGCAACAGATCAAGAGCTCAGTCTCACCATTCTCTGTAATATAAATCACCGGATCTTTGTATTGTTTCTTTACATAAAGTAACAGGTCGTGTATTCCCCGTGGGTACACAAAGAGCCAACTTGAACCAGCCTGCAAATTTTCATAATATATAGTTAAGCTTAAGTTCTTGTATGAAATAGTGTTATTTAAGAGAGTGTTTGGTACGGTGTTGTTGTGTTGTAATTAAGGGTATTAATGAACCGGTTTTGGATTGAATTCCATCCAGTCCAAAATCAATTTGGACGGACCAATAAAATATATTGGATTGGACCAATCCAGTCCAAAATATTTTTTAGATTGGACTGGACTTGGTTCGTTCGTAATAAATTTATATTGGATTAGATTTGATTAAGCCAAATCCAGTCCATTGCTATAAGATAAAAATATAGGTGTTAATAGATCAGGTTTGAGTTGAAACCAATCTAATTCAAAATGAATTTAAACAGATTGGATGGTCCAGATATTGAATTGGACTTATCCAAATTAGTCCAAAATATTTGTTGGACTGGATTAAACCTGATCCATTTATAATGGACTCACATTAAACTGGATCGGATTGGAATTGCACTTGTATTTTGAGTTAATTAATACAAATTGCTAATTTTATTTTCACAAGTGTGCATTTTTTAGTTGAAGGGACAGTTATAAATACTATGATAGTGCAATGACAATGTACCAAACACCCCCTTGGTCGATGAAGGTGGGTGTTCACCAATTTGTCCATTTTTTAAAAGTAAACAATAGCCACATCAGCAAAAGCAACAATATATATATATATATATATATATATATATATATATATATATGCTGACATGGCAATCCCAACTTGCTGAACGCCATACCTGTTTACCAATTAAGGCACCCTTCCGTGTAGCTGTCATAAAAAAAATATATACAAGGCAAATTCACAATGTAAGTATAGTAAGTGATGTACATAATACATCTAAATCAGGTTGTGAACTGAACTTACTTGACAAATTAACATGAGAATCTGTATTATAGCTTATGTTAACAGAATTGAAGGAGAGGACATTAGCTGCATAATTGGCAGTATAATAATTTAACCCAAGGAAATCAAATGATCCTTTTACTGCCATGGATTGCTCTGGGGTTAATTTCGGCAACCGTTTTCCAACAAGAGATCGCATGCTCTCTGGATAGTCCCCATAGGTTAATGGATGCAAAAGCCTATTAAAAGAACACAGTTTAGTTAATCGTACATCTTTTAATTTCCTCATTTTATTAGCTGTGAATTGCTTATAAGGTTGTATTTGGAAATAATGCAAATAAGTGTGAATGTAAATATGTAAAGTGTAAAACCGTTCATATAAGTTGTAAAATTGGGTTAATTCTGTACTGATAAATTTATTTTCTTACCAAACAGACTTTTATAATGGATGTAAACATAAATATCAATAAAGCATAAGCTTTTTTTTTTATCAGAAGTCCATTTGAATGCAAACCAATCGTGACCCCTAATGGTCAGTCATTTGTCAATTGTCAATGCAGGAAAAAATGAACCAAAGTGCAAATTTACCCAGAATTGAGATTTACACTTCATTTGCATCCATCATTTCCAAATGCAGCCTAAGTTTCAAAAAACAAAACAAAACTAACTGGATTGAAGACAAATGGGTTTGCCGAACAAAAAATACAGAATCCATTTTCTTGGTTATATTATGTGTAGTTTTTTTTTTCAAAATTGAAACAAGAAACATGTTGAATTTCTAGTTTAAAGAATATATTTTCATCTGTTTATATAATATCATATTCCATAGAACAGTGACTTAACTTTTACACTTCAAAATTTATTTTTGTTTTAAAAGCCATTATTTATTTTGATGGTTTCAAGAGTATGGATTGTTTTTTGAAACAAAATTCTTAAAACGAAAACACCGTCGAGGAATCTTGTCATTGAAAACACCCCAAGTCACTAATACGCAAATGGGAAAGGATTAAACCAATCCATCAATGGACTCACCAGCCAAACATGAAATCAATAGCTCGTTGAGCAGCCTGGATGCTTGCCTTGTCATTGGAGTAGGGCACAAACCAATGTGACACCAACGTTATTCCAATCTTGCCCTCTTGAGACGCCTGATCAGTGTTATAAACAGAGAGGAATCAAGAAATATATATAGTTCTGTTAGAAAATAAAAACCTATTCAGGGATTTCATTTAATAGGTTGAATGGTTCTTTGAAATGGTATCAAAACCTGTTGATCAAATGCTCTAATGTTCAATCTTCACCCAACGAGTTTTTGGATGATAGTCCATGATAGAAAATAAAAACCTATTCAGAGACCTCACTTAACAGTTCAGGACTCACGCTATAGCCCACCACTTTGATGGCCAATGGAATTCAGATTGCTAAGAATGAAAGAATTACAGACCTGATACTTGTCTTTGTATGCTTTCACTGCTGCTGCATGAGCAAGGAGTTGGTTGTGAGCCACCAGGTATGGCTCCGTGCCTGAATTCCCACCGGTGCAGCTTAAGCTCACCCATGGAGAACATCGGCCAGGGGCTAAAGTGTCCATGCTGTACCCACCATTGCTAAAGGTCCATGGCTCATTGAAGGTGATCCAGCTCTTCACCCGATCACCGAACTCTCGGAAGCAGATTTCCGCGTAATCACGGAAGTCATCGCTGCAAGTTAGATCAGCGATGCCCAACTAGATTAGTTTGGATCATTTGAATGTTTATCACTGAGAGAGAGAGATCTCCAGAGAGAGACTTAAGAAACCTCCTTATTCATCTAAGTGAAAATGAATCACTTACACAATTTTAGTATTTAAGAAACCTCCGTATTCATCTTCAAGTGCTTGGGGAAGATCCCAATGAAAGAGGGTCACGTATGGCTGCAAACCTATGCATTCATGACACCAAATTAACAATGATATAGACAGAGAGAGAGATCGAGAGAGAGAGAGAACCGTGGGAGAGAAGCTCGTCGATGAGATTGTTGTAGAATCTGATGCCTTCCCTGTTCACTCCTCCACTTAGTTTCCCATCTAAGATTTTGAGAAAAAATCATTAGGAAGGAAAGAATATTTTACCAGAAATAATAAGTTTTAAACTTTTAATCTGTATGTTTTTCCTTAGGTTATGCTTGGTTTGAAGGAAAATGCAGGGAAAGGAAGGGAAATGTAAGGAAATCTCTATAAACCTTTGTATAGGTTCTTCTTCCTTTCCTTAACTTTTCCTTCAAACCAAACATAGCCTTAAAAATTTTTTCTTCTTTTGATTGAGTTAATCAATTTTCTTCAAAAATATATGGGCCTGTTTGATACGTCTTACTGCACGGTCTTTTGGCTGTTTATAAGTCGGGTGGGCCAATTTTTTGTCATTCTTGTTTGATTCACAGAAATCTAACCATCAAAAGTCGGAATACCGAAAAGACATTAGAAGCTATTTTGGGCTGATTTTGGGAAGCTCCAAATGAAACTTTCCGTGCCTTTAATTTTATTTTCATGTAAAAAGACTTATCAAATAGACTGTATGTTATTTAGAGTTTATGAATGAATCTAGTGATAGACTAAACAATTCAAATCATACAAACCACGATAATCAAATCTTACGTGGCAATATTCTAGGCCAGGAGATGGAGAACCTGAAGGCGTCTAAGCCCATTTCCTTCATTATTCCCACGTCCCCCTGTAAAATTCATCCATTGTTTAATTAAAAATTGCATATGTAAGAGAATATGTGTAATAATAGTTAATCATCAGGTTTATTTTTAAATTTGACCGTTGGATGAGAATTAATTAGTAGGGTGGTGTCACATTATAAACATTTCATTTGACTATGACATCGATTCAATTGGCCTATATGGCTGAATGCTTATATGCCACATGGATGGAACAACGATTTCATTTTTACGTTGGTTTCAAAAATATTAATTTTTCTAAGGGTGTCAATTGATCGGTTTTGGATTGTATTTAATCCCATCTAAATCTTGTTAAATTGGATTTGGATGGTCCATTATAAGTATTAGATTGGGCAATCTAAAATAAATTGGTCCATATTCTTATTAGTCTGAATTGGACCTAAACCAAATTTCTAATAATCCCATTATGAGGCCAAACGCTTGTCCAATTTGAAACCAATCAAAATTGAAGCCGGTATAAAATCACTTTTATGAAAGTACTTTTACGAAAGTACTTTTACAAAAAAAAATACTTTTATGAAAGCACTTTTGTAGAAGCAATTTTATAAAAACACTTTAATAAAAGCACTTTTACGAAAGTATTTTTATGAAATCATTTTTACAAAAGAACTACAGAAGTACTTTTATAAAAGCACTTTTACATAAACATTTTTATAAAAGCACTTTTATAAAAGTGATGGTGCACAATCCGGCTGGGCCTAGCTGTCAACGACCTTGTTCAGGTTCCTCTGAACGGAGCTACAAGGAACCTGGAACGGAGAAGATGAGGAAGCTCCGAGGGGAACCCGGTGTGATTGCTCTGAAGCTCAAGTTAGAATTCTCTCAAAGGCAAGATAAAACTAGATGGCGCAAAGTTCACATACCTTGTTCTTGGGGGGTAGGGAGCCTTTTATAACCACCTCGCGCACTCACTTCTAAGCTTTTGTCAGATCGGGTATGATTATTTCTGAGCTCCTACCAGTTCGGATGTCATCCCCTCTGCCTGGGCAGAACCGCCACTGCTCTCTTTGTCGGAGCCGTCTCTGCGGCTGGTGACGACGGTGGCAGGTGGCGGTGGCAGGTAGCCATTGAAGTGCGGCTGTCAAGCATCAGATCCCAAGTCAGTCAGGTGCACTGCCCTTGGATACGAACATCCTCGGTGTCAGGTATGGTACGTTTGTTCAGCCTAGCGTCTTGGAAGTGAAGTGTTGGAGTGGTAGGCGAGGTGAAGTCTTGAGTTCGGATAGGGGAGTGTCCCGAACTGCCATGAGGCGGGCCAATTCGGGTCATTGCCTTGTGTGAGGCTCGGGGCCTAAGGGAGGTTCGGGCTCCTAGTAGAGAGTTCGGGCTCCTAGTAGGGATTTCGGGCTCCTAGGAGGGAGTTCGGACTGCTAGTAGGTAGTTTAGACTGTTGTTCCTCCCTTCGGTGCTCGCGCCTTGGGTGCGCTATTGTGCCGAACTGTTTGCCTTTGCCACGTGTTGAGTGATTACAAGGTCGGGCTAAATCTTCCTTCATCAATTTCCCCCCATTCCTCGTGCTAAGGGTCTTGCCCTGGCGCGGGGAGTTCGCGAGGTGGCAGGTGGATTTGTCCCGTACTTCGAATCTCGGTTGACTGATAGCGCGAGGTGCGTTGTTAGGGTTCTCTGGGTTTCTCGAGCGCCCAAAAGGCGAGAAACGCGCCGACCTGCCTACAAATGCTGATAGACGTGACAGCACGCACCTTATTTCAAAAATTCAAAAAGCATGCCACTGTGAAATGTGACAGCAAGCGTCTTTTCAAATTTCAAAACGTGTCACTGCCGCCTTTAATGTGAGGAGACGTGCACTGGCATTCAGTCAATTTCAGAAAGACGTGCGCCGGTGCTCTGTCAGTTTCAGAAAGACGTGTGCCAATCACATCTCGATCTCAGGGGACGTGCGGTCAGCGCGACTGTGGGCCATCGGATTGGCTTTGATCTGCGATGTTGCTTCTCGGTCACTGTGGGTATAAATAGTGGGGGACCACAGTCGCTTTGTCACTTCTGTGCTTTGCTTCTTGAGCTCGCATCCAAGTTTCATCTCGCATCCAGGCTTTTAGTTCACGTCCAGGCTTTTAGTTCGCATTCAAGGTTTTTACTCGTTCAAGTTCCCGTAGTCTATTCAACTCTTTTTCCGGGTGAGTACCTTCCTGGAATCCACCTTCTCTCCTCGATGTCTAGCTTGGATAGCTCAGACGGTTCTTCAAGTGGGTCAGATGCAGGTTCCACGAACCGAGTTGCATCCTCTGATAGTTCTAGTGAGCCGGAGGTAGAGCTCGAGGAAGAGTTCGAACCCGTTGGCCAAGTCGCTTCGGGTAGTTTGGCGTCAACTTCTCGTCGGGATCGGATGTTAGACAAGTTTGGCCCCTCGACCATGACGCCTGAGGGGCTCCAATCCCTTATTACCTATTACAAGTTGCCTGGGGAGTACGCTTATTTCATACCTTCGGGTAGCTTTCCTTGGGAACACAGTCCTGATGAGATCGTGATATTCCGGGAGTAGCTCGCTGCGGGGCTGCGACTGCCTTTCCATCCCCTCCTTGTCGTCATGAACCACTTCGGCGTTACGGTCGGCCAGCTTCACCCGAACTCTATTCGTAACTTGGTGGGGACAATCTCCCTATTTTGCGAACAGGGCTTTCCTTTAGACTTGGAGATCTTCTCTTCCATCTTAATGCTTAAGAAGCAAGTGGGTCCCTTCCCGGGCGTAGACGGGCGTATTACCTGTCTCCTCGCCAGAGTTTTAAGCTTTAAAATGAACTTCCCAACAAGGTCCCGACGTGGAAGCGGGACTACTTCGGGGTGCGAAGTGTACTAGGGTGGCTGCTTCAGACTGGGTGGGGGATGGCCGCCCCTAACTCCGGTGTTACGCTTGACAAAGAGACGGTGAAGGGCCTCTGGCAATGGGCGCGGCTTGGGCTAAAGTGCCATCAATATCTGATGGAGGCCAAGCTCATTGCGGCCGACCTGAGTTCGGGTAGGTTCCTTACTTAAAGGTTCTGTTTTGCTCTGTTTCTTTTGTTTTTTCTGATGCCGAACTCTTTTTTGCAGGTGTGATGGACTCAGAAAGGACTCGTAGTGGGCATTTGTTTCAAGGCATGAAGGGGAGGAAGCGAGTGGCCAAACGAACTCGTGCCGAGCTGCCCCGGGATGCGGAGCCCAAGGTACCAGACTACCCGTCAGAGGATCCGCCCAGGGAGCCCGAGATGGCTTCTCCAATGCAAGAAGCGGCAGGGGCCCCTTATGTTGAGACTACTTACATGGGGGCTCCCACCTACTTTGGTGCTCCTGCTTACTCTGGGTCTGCTCATACGTGAGCTGGGCCCTCAGGCTCGGAGGCCCCAGGGGAATTTAGGAGTGTGCTATCGCCGACCCATGCTCTTCAGAAGAGTAGGGAGGCCATTTTCCCCAAGGAGGTCGCGGTGTGGACTGATCTTCCTTTGCACTAGGTGGCCTATCATGCTGTCACTCATGCCATGGTGGTAAGTCAGATTTTTTATCGAGCTCTTTTGCTTTTACCACTCTTGTTGTCGTTCTTTTGATCACTTGTTCTTTCCTTTTGGTAGGTGAACTCTTCTATCCATGCCTTGGCGGCCCAGGTGGAAAGGAGCTTGAGGCAAGCACGAGGTGCCAAAGAGGCTCTTCGTGTTGCCGAGATGACTTCCCAAGCTGTTGAGGTGGCTACTCATGCTGCCGAGGAGGCTGCTCGCGTCGTACAGATCAGGCAGGCGAGGTCTCAGAGAGATGCCGAGGTCATGGGAGTAGTGGTGAAGCATATGGTGGACCTGAGGCTGGATCTGCAGCATCAGGTTGAGTACCTTTAGGAGGACATTAGGGAGAGGACGCAGATCTTTTCTCAAGGCATCAAAGATGCCAAGAAGAAGGCCGTCGATGAGTACATCGCCTCGCCGTGCTTTGATGACCTCATGGTAGACTCGTACAGAAGGGGTTTTAACTCAGGTGATGGTCAATGGTCATGAGATGGCCATATCCACTTCGTGCTTTGATGATCCGGAATACGTACCCCGATCTCGATATCAGTGCCATATCCACTTCGCGCATAACTCAGGAGATGGCCAATGCTGCTGATGGTGAGCCAGATTCCGAGGAAGAGACAGGGCCTTTGGGTATCGTTGAAGTGCCTTCTGATAATGAAGAAGTAGCTCTAGGCCTGTAATTTTTTTTTTTTTTGTTCGAAATGTACACTCCCTTATTTTGAAATGGAATGACTTTTCTTTTGGTTAAGTGTTGGTTGTTCTTTCTCCCGAACTGACCGTATTTTCCGAACTGACCATACATCCAATCTGTTTCTTGCCCGGGTTACTACACTCACACGTCCTGTTTTGGTGTTAATACTGTCTCTGAGATGCCGATGTCCCTATTAGTTCGCTATTTCCGCTTCGCCTTTGGCTGACACTTTTCTTTGCTTGCCTATGTCGAGGTTCCTTCGTTAGCTCAGCACCCTATCCCTTAGGCTCTGGTAGCGATTTTGTCCACTTCGCTTGGTGGTCTATAGGTAGTATCGCCTTAAGTTGACGATGTTCCACGCTTGGGGTACTTGTTTACCCTCTAAGGTTTCGATCTCGTATGCCTCCCGAGTGCTTTCTTTACTCTGTAGAGCCCATCCCAATTTGGTCTAAGTTTGCCCACGCCAGGTTCAGGTACCATGATCTTATGGAGAACCAGGTCACCAACGTGGAAGCTCCGCTTCTTTACTCTGGCATTGTAGTACCGGGCTACTTTTTGTTGGTAGGCCGTTGTCCGGATGTGCGCGAGGTCTCTTACCTCATTCTGTAGGTCGAGGTTGGTACGTAACTCATCTTCGTTTGTCTGATCGTCATATGCTTCTAGTCGTAGTGTAGGTATTTCGATTTCCGCCGGGATTACCGCTTCGGTGTCGTAGGTGAGGTTAAAGGGGGTCTCTCCCGTGGCGGTTTTCTCTGTAGTTCGGTGAGCCTATAGAACACTTGGTAGCTCGTCCGCCCACAAC